GGCATTCCTCTGTGCTGGTGGGAGAGAGAGAGAGACTGATGACTCATCAAGTCAGGTGGTTATGCCTCTGCTGTGTGTCAGAAATTTCTTTCCCCTCTGCAGCAGGCTTTCTCATCCCTCTGTGTAGGGGCACTGGAAGGACAATTATTTTGTAAGTGGCGCTGCATAACTGCTGAATTCTGGCTTTGCTTCATTGGGCCTGTGGATTTTTGTTACTCCTTTTCTGCAAAATAAGGTAGGAATCTGGGTTTATACAATAAATTAGTCATGGATTTTTCTTCCTTACTGCAAGAAGACTCCTTCTAAAAACCTCACTTGAGTCTGAATTTTGAAGATATATTTGTGGTAAGGTAGTTTATTGTGTAAATTCAGGAAGTGACCAAATGTTTGAAGCAAAAACAAGGAACTGTAATAGAAAGCAGGGTTGTTTTGTTTGGTTTTTTTTCTGATGTTGAGAGCAGCAGGGTTACATTTTCGGGGTTACTGTGTAGCCAAATTGCTGTGCTGGGGAGAAACCAAGATAGAAAACTCAAGTTATTGGCTCTTTTTCTGGTTTAATTATGACTATAAATTGCTTTAACGAATCACCTTTCAGTAAGAAATGGTTCTGCAGCAAGTATTATTTTGATTTCTGGCACTGTCAGGCAGAATATGACCATGGCAGAGCTTAAAAGCATGTTTAAAATCAGCTGTTGAACTGTTTAAGATGAGGAAGATTCCTTTATGTAAGTTGTAAAGGATACAAGATGCATTTTGGCTCATAAGGGAATTAAAACTAAGCTGATACCCTGTGTAGGTGGGCTAGTGGGCTCTGTAGGAGTGGATGGCACATAGTGCCTAATACCGTGTGCTGGCGAGAGGGCCTCTGAAAGGCTGCAGGAACTTGGTAGATTTCTAAAATGGCTAGCTACTGTGGCTTCTGAGGTAAGTACACATTGTTGATACATATGTAACACATGATGTTGTGTTTAGCAGATTCTGATGTGCTGTAGGGAATTTCGTTTAACAATGAAGACATTAGACAGTGTAGGTTGGTAATGGCAACATTTCTGCCCTCAAGGACTTTTTCATCTAAAATGAAAATCTCTAATGGTAATACATAAGCACAAGAAAACTGTGCAGAAACAAGTAACAGCATTTTTTTTTCTTTATTTTTATTCAATATTAGAAAGATTCATAGCACCTTAAAAAAAAAAAGGTCAGCTTGGCTAGGTGACCACTAGCTTTTTAGGGTACTGTACTTTGATTGGAGGTGTATAGGAGATGCAACAAAGAAAGTTGAGGAAGAATTCACCTTATCTTTTACACTTGGAATAGGTAATAGATATGTGTTTAAAAGCAGTTGGTGCAGATGCTAAAGATCAGGACAAAGACAGGGTTTATTGGTGTGTTGCTAGGTGGTCTAGCAGAGGAATCCATTATCTTTTAGTTGACTTGGCCAGTAGTTTGGAAAGGTGGCTGTAGGAAGAGAGGGAGCAGAGCAGTCACAGATACAAGAGAGGCAGGTGCTGGGTGTCAGGTTGTTGCTCTTTTATTTGCAGAATGACTGTTCTGAGGTTCTTACTTGTGTCCCTAAAAGATAAATGGCTGCTTCAAGCGGTGGTCAGCTGACCTACAGGCTTTGGATTTGAAGAAAAGTTAATTTAAAGTGAAACTGGCTAATATTCTTCCTGCTTTTCCTTGCTTTCATAAATTGCCTCTTTTGTATGGGACCCTGTATTTTCTAATTGCCAAACAGCATCACTAATTTAGTTATGAGAATTTGGTTTAGCTCTCTCTTTATTGTGGTTCTGTAGAAAACTGTGGTTGTAGGACTCTAGAGATTTGTTCTATATGGTATGCTGAAGTAAATATTTTGGGTGGATTTATAAGACAAGCTGCTTTATTTTCAACATGAACAGTAATTGTCCTTGTGTTGTGCAATGTTTTCATTGTTAAAAGCAAAAAAGATGAGGTAGGTTAGCCTGATCAGAACCAGCTCTTACCAGCTGCAAAGGAACTGCAAATTGCTTTGCAAGGACCTCCCCTCTGCCCTTTGTTAGAGGAGACTTTTGAGACATAAGAAGTGAAATTAAAATTGTCTTCTGGGCCTAAACAACAGGCAGCTTAAAGGATAAACTCTGTGGAGAGCAGAGGGATATAAGAACTATCTCATTTAGCCTTTGAGCTTGAGAGCAGCTAGCAGTTCCACTCCAGGCTGGTGGTGACTGAGTCATGATCAACTGTTGGGGTGGCTGTTGTGAAATGAATCAGTGGTAGCCACGTTACTGGGCCGCTCCAGTAAGATGTGGAAGAAGCTGTTCCTTCAGGGTAAATAGGAGTTTGGAATCGTCTGACATCTTTTTCTTACAGAGCAGAGCCACCAATTTAAAACACTTAGCTTGATAAAGAGGATCTGTAATATGGTATTAAAAAGCTGGAAAACAATCATAAGACTTTAAGAAAAGCAGATGTTGGCTACCTACTGCTCTTGAAGAACAGGCAGAAAAACATCCTTTAATGATGGTGGAAGGGGTGGCAATGTAGTTGTCTTCCTCATTGTATATGGGGCAGGTTTTCAAGCCTGAATATGCCTCTGTATTTGCTGCCTTGCAGAAGATGCTGGGTTAGGTTGAGCTTCTTGCAAAGGCTGAGCATCAACAGATGCCTCACACAGTTCACATCACGGAACCATTGGCTTTTGCTGGACATGCACTGTTGATATGCAGAGGGACTCGTATGCTGGGGCTGCCATACCACAGCTTTCACCAGCGCTGTATCATAAATGTGTCAATACAGTAGAAATGGGTAGAGTTGCCTTACAGTTCTCTAGCACTAAGCAGTTTCCAAGGTAACGCCAAGCATGGTAAGGGCTGGCAGAGCAAAATCATTAAAGGCTCTTATTGGCACCACAAGCAGGACAGCCCAACTGTCGATTACAGGACAAGTGGGGATCAAGGAGGTCTGTTTCTAAAACTGCCTTTCCTGTGCCAGTTGTTTAGATTCTCTGAACAGTTACCAATAAGAGGTGTTGGTGTTTAACTGTTGTAAATTGAGTTTTTTTGGCCATTAGCACAATTCTACTGTAATGCTTCATGGGTTTCACTGAGAGCAAGACTGCATAATACCTTACTGTGAGGCATATGGAGCGGACTTGCATGTTTGCATACTGGTGCTTGTGAAAATGTATGTTTCTTTCTCCAAACACTCTTGATTCAGTAGCTTGAGATAGCAAAAAGTAGAATTTTTACCATTAATATTTGTAGTATTTCCTTCTAGAGGCTGGTGGCAGTAAAGCAGAACCAGAATATTCTCTTGCTCTCTTCACATATAGTAGCCTTGAAATCAATCAGAATCATAGGAATCTCCTTGTTTTGAAGGAGAGTAGATGAGATGTGGAAGGCAGAAGTGGTTCTCTGCTGTTTAAATACCCTGTTATTGGGCTCGAACATAGTCCAGCAGTGTTATGGCATTTTTGGAGTGCAACTATTTGACTCAGGTGTTTTGTGGATCGTATTATGGAGTGATGTTCTAGCCCTTTGTTTCTGCAACAGGGGATGTTAGTTCTTTTGTTTGTTTAAATAAGTTACTTTTTAACTTTTTATAGGTTTAAAATCAGTGTGGTTCAGGTGCTTCAGGGTATAGGAGTTCAGAATTCTTCAGTTCAGAATTCTTTCTCACTGGAAACAAGAAGAAAACAGAGTGGAAGGAAAGGAGGAATTTACTACATGTGTGTATTCTTCAGAACTGACTCTTCTCTTTTTTTTCCTTCTGTACAGTTGAACAGGCAAAATGGACTTCTCAAAGCTACCCAAAATCCGTGATGAGGACAGAGAGGCTTTAGTTGGCTATGTCCATGGAGTCTCGGGACCTGGTAGGTATTACTTTGTAAAGGAAATAATGGGTTCTTTTTCATCTAGTGTCTTATTAATCTGCAAGATTGGCAGCTCTGGGTAGGGCTTTTTCTTTTTTGGGATGGGCCTTTTTAAGAAAGATCACTGACTTAGTCTGATAAAATATTAAGAAATATACTAACAAGCTGTTACTTCCGATTAATCTTATTTAAAGATGTAATGAGCAGAAGCAAGCTTAATAATAATAATAATAAGAAGAAGAATAAGCCAAAAGGTAGTAAACTTTCTGGATGAAAGAGAGCCACTGGGTCAGAAATCTGCAGGCCCAGTGTATTAAGCTGCTGTAAAAGGATACGAGCTGCCTAATTCATTCTTACTGAAATGCAGTTTGACCCAGTGCTTTCCAGAATACTCAGTCTCATGCCGGTGTTAAGCTGTTCTGTGTCACTGCACCATGGACTGGAGTTGCTCAGCAAGGAGCTGCAAGGGTCAGGGAAGGTGGCAGTGTATGGTGGTACTGCAGCTGTGAGGAGGACTCTTCCTCCTCCTTTATGAGCCTAAATACTTTCTTTAGGCTCTGATGGTAGCAGCTTTTGAATACGTGCAGACTCTACTGGCTTTTCTGCTCACACCTTCATTCTCTTCAAGACGTGAAGGAAAGGATGGGAATGTGAGAACAGAAGAACAGCATGTATTTTTCTTAATGCAGCTTATTTAATGAATAAGAAACTCCCTTGTCTCATATCTACCTAAATAAATGCCTGTTCTTTACCTGCCAATTCCTTAAGTACAGAAGTGATACTTGAAAAACAATTTTAAACTGATACAACTTTCTTTCCTAAGAAGTGGAAAATTTATTTTTATGTAAACACATGAACTCTGTGTGCAAGATTGATATTATAATATCAAAAATATAATTAATTTTGTCCTAAAGCAGCTAGGCCTCATGTGTGACCTGCTGAAATCTAACTTAAAACAGTAAGAAGCTTCAGGTCCAAAACATGCTGTAAATAGTCTTAATCTGGTAAAAGTTAAATGCCCTAAGATATACATCACTTTTTTACAAAATATCGATATGGTGTTTCCTTAAAAGCTTTATAGACATTTGCCACAAAAGGTGTGTATTGCTTTTAACAGCCACCTTGGCTTGACCTATGCATGGAAATAGTTTAAGTGAGCATCCTGATGCTACCAAGGTAAACAGAATTTTTTGAGTGACTTGAAAATGCTGGTCCCCAACCACAGGTTTATGTAACTACCACATATCAGGTGAGCTTTTGCCATTTTCTTTTATGTTTTAATTTAGTCAGATGGGAATGTGGCCCAGCTAACTGAAAGGAAGAAATGCCTATGCAGCTCACCTGTCAAAGTTCACTGCGTCTTTAAAACCCGAGACATTTGCCATCTGTCAAGATAGATAAGAGAAATTACGGCAAGAATTGTCTGTGAAGCACTAAGTTCGGATAATGTCCCCTTATTAAACATAAAGGAGCAGTTTGGAAAAGTGTAAGGAAACATTTTCTTTTGACTTTTAAACCAGAAATGTCAGGATTTGTGGCAGCCAAGTTATCCTTTTGTGAAATCAAGAATGCACTTCTGATTTGGTTGAATACTGGGCTTATGCTGTGCAGTTCTTACTAACTTCTGATGAGTACACTTCCAGAGCTACAGGAAAAATATTCACCTCTGTACCTGTCTTTTACAGTGGTCACGGCATGCAACATGGCAGGTGCTGCTATGTATGAGCTGGTACGAGTAGGCCACAGTGAACTGGTGGGGGAGATTATCCGACTGGAAGGTGATTTGGCAACTGTCCAGGTGTACGAAGAAACCTGTATCCTTTTCACTGATCCCTCTGGGCCTGCAAGACTGTGCAACCCAGAACGGTTGTAATTAGGGCGAAGATGAACAGAGGTGACTGGGACCAGTGCAGGAAGTCTGTTCTGCGTGTCTTTTGGAAATTCTGATGTGTTTGAGGTAAATCTTGCCATGCTTGGCTGTGTACCAAAGAGACCTTTATTATTTTAAGTGGATATCAAATAGCGTGTACCTTAAATTTTAAGTTAATTTTAATTTAAATATCACAGCTTTTTGTAAAGGAAGTTGTTTGACAAATGTAACCATAAATGGCAAAACTACCAAGCAGTATTTATTGCATTTTTTTCATTGCTTTTGAAAACTATGCTTGTATACCACTTGGATAGGAAATGTAAAGTGGGCCGGATGCCACCTTCTGGGCAGATTATTTTGCCAGATGTAACAGATTACATATTTGCTTCTGCAGTGTGCTTACAGACTCTTGGTCCAGCTAGGACCCAGCATGTATTCTGAAATCCAGGATGAGCAGCTGCGTTACTTTAGCAATTTCATCTTGAGTTAAGTATAAAGCTACATGATTCTTAAGTGATGATGTGTAACATAGTAATAAAAATGTAACCTTAAAGTGAAGAAAGGTGGTTTAAGGGTGTGATGTTGTGAAGGGGATGCCTTCTGCCCTGTTTCTTTCCCTTTTTCTGGATGAACTTTTCCTCAGCAAATCTTTAGCTGGTGTCTCTGTAGGAGATCCTGTACTTCGTACTGGCAAACCCTTGTCAGTGGAGCTAGGGCCTGGCATTATGGGAGCTATTTTTGATGGTATCCAGAGGCCTCTCTCGGACATAAGCACTCTGACCAAAAGTATCTATATCCCTAGAGGTGTCAACGTGTCAGCTTTGAGCCGAGACATCAAATGGGACTTCACGCCTTCCAAAAATCTGCGGGTAGGTTCTGACAAGCCTGTCTTCCTCTCTTGTTCCTCTACTCCCAGAGTGTTGGGCTGGAGCAGAGTGCCAAGGCTGTGACTGCTAGGAGCTATGGTTAATGCTGTATTTAAGTTTGCAAGAAGTGCTAGGAGGTGATAGCAATGTATGAGACTGGATGGGGATCGCCAAAACTAACTCGATGTGACTTACTGTGTGCTGCTGCTGCTGCATATGAGAAAGTTGCAAAGTTATAGTTTATTTCCAAAACTGTAAAGAATCTAGTGGAACTGCACTAAGCATTAGCTAGAGCAGGTCCTACCTAAGCAAAAAGAATCACCACAGCACACATTTCATGAATGGTGAAGATAGCCTTAGAGCTGGAAAATGTCATGGCCTTAGCCCTTGGCAGCATCTTTTTTCCAACCCTGCAGGTTAGAATATGTTATCCTTTCTCTGCTTAACACATTAAGCTGAGAGTTATAAAAGAAACAAGAAAAATTCCTTGCATCAGTCAGTAATTGCTACTGTCTGAACCTTGAAAGGTGCCTGAACCCAGATAGCATTGCTAGCCATGTGCTGTTAGTGTGATGAGTTATGTAAATGGGCTACTGCGCTGTAACAACACATTTAGAAAGGGAGTAATCTCAGTGCTAGACTTAATAGCTACAGTTATATGGTACAGTTCTTTGTCTAGGTTCTTTTTTAAAACTGAAGTTCTCACTTATGACTAATAGATCTGTTCTGATTTTAGGTTGGCAGCCACATCACTGGTGGAGATATTTATGGTGTGGTGAACGAAAACTCCCTTATCAAACACAAAATCATGCTGCCCCCACGGAACAGGGGTACAGTTACATACATCGCTCCACCAGGAAACTACGACACTTCAGTAAGTCTCTCAAACAGCAGTTACTGGTATATTCCAATCTCTTTCGTAAGGCTGATGTACTCTTTCTGTACTGCATGATGCCACCAGCAAGTATTTAATGCAACAAGATGTCTGAGTTAATGATCACTTCTGCTATCCTGCCTGCCGGGATTACATGATTATCTTGTGCAGTTACTTTCTAGGTATATGGCTTCCCAATGGCACTTCTTTATGCCATGTTTGCTGACCTATATGGGGATCTACAGTATCTTATTGAAGATGTAAAATTCAGTTGCTCTTCAAAAGCATATTTTTAGTTGAAGCTTCATCTTCTACTTTCTTTCCCCAGTAGCCTTGTAAATAAGGGAAGGAGCCTTTACTTGGGAGGGGATGCTAGCGTGTTGAGGTTCTGATTAATCTATGGCACTATCAGACCTAGCTGTGCAGAGCAGTTGAGATGAAAATTTGCATGCTGATCCAGTGTGCAGCTATTTGCTTACTTAAGATGTCTGGTGCCATCTGTTAGGATGTTGTCCTAGAGCTGGAGTTTGAAGGTGTGAAGGAGAAGTTCACTATGGTCCAGGTCTGGCCTGTACGTCAAGTCCGTCCTGTTACTGAGAAGTTACCAGCCAATCATCCTTTATTAACTGGTCAGCGGGTCCTGGATGCCCTCTTCCCGTAAGTACTACCTTTTATTTTCTAGTATGTAAGAAATCTCTTTTGGTGGGGTAGCAGAGGAAGGAGGTGTTACAGTTTTTTAAGGGCAAACAGATCCCAAGCTTTCACTATGCATCACAGCATAATCTCCAGAAATATTTAGCTGAATTCCTCATATTTCTGTATTTAACAGGAACACCTACTAGGGGAAAAAAGAAGAAAAGCTTTACAATATAGTATTAGTGCATTAATCTGGAAAAGAATGGACAAACATAAACTTAACATTATCATGCCAAATCAACAGAAAGGCTAGAACTTTCAAGCTTGGTATCTCCATTTGAATACATAAGTAGGATCTCCTTCTATGGTCTTGAGCATGTATAGTTCTCAGTGATTTTGAGGTAATCGCTTGAGAAAACTATCGCACTTAACTGTAACACAAGATGCTCATTTAAGCAGCTAACTTTCAAGACTCTAAATGTAGTAATTTGTGTCCTAAAATATCGTGCTGCTTGTTCTTATAGTGCACAGCTGAGTACTGTTGTTCTTTTCTTAGCATTTGCATTCCATCAGTGCTTCCAGCTGTGAAAACTGCTATGTTTCAAGCCTGAAAGTCTCTAGCTGTTGTACAAGCATAACTCATGTACTTCAAGGGCAATAGGAGAAAAGGACAGTTTATTCCCTCGGTCTTTTGGTTTAGTGAAATACCTCTGTGCTTCTCATCCAGAACACTGAATGTGACTCCTGTTGCTCTGCTTTTAATTAGTGAGTTTTAATGGAAAACATATTCTAAGATGGGAGAGAGCTGTTTTCGAGTTCCTTGCAAATCAGAGTCCTTTTTCTTTACTCAGGTGTGTACAAGGGGGTACAACAGCGATTCCTGGGGCATTCGGTTGTGGGAAGACTGTGATCTCGCAGTCTCTCTCAAAATACTCCAACAGCGATGTCATCATTTATGTAGGCTGTGGAGAACGAGGAAATGAAATGTCTGAAGTACTGAGAGATTTCCCTGAGGTTAGTATGGAGAACTCATGGAGAGTAAACCTTCTTGGGAAGACTTCCTATTGTACTGGTATTGTAATTGAGGAAAGTATCATATTGGCCAAGTGACTTAAAATTGTCCTTTTGCCTCCCCACTGTAAGTTCAAGCTGTAGTACTAGAAATCCTTTTTGGCTTGTTCAAGAATGATTTCAGTGGCCTCTTCAATAAATGTCTGGACTACTTTTTGGCGTACCTTCTAACTTGTTTAAAATAAAGCCAAAATGTATGCCAGGGTGCAATTTAGTGCAGTTATAAGCACCTTACCTTTCACTGGTAATGTCTCTAACTTTTCTAACTCAACCATGCATAAGAAATGCAGCATCTATATTTACTGGGTGTAGGGTGGTGATACAAACAGCTACAATTAGTTTGGCATGTTAGGCTTTGGGATACCTTCTGAAGGAAGTAGAAGATGCTTGGTTTAAAAAAACCAAACAGATGTAACAACAGGTTTACTGGTCCTTCTATGTGTTAGTGAATTAGTCTTCTGTGAAATATGGAAAAGAAGCCAGATAGTCTGAATGGTTAGGTTGAAACTTCACTTTTAGAAATAAGCAGTAAAAGGCTTGAGTGTGTTGATGAGAAAATCAAACTGAGGTGGCTATGAAAAAGGTAAATCCCAGGATCTTCGTAGGTGGAGTTCTACAAGTCAGGATATGCATTCTGTTGTTCAGATCCTTGTGAGGTTTCAGCTGGGTTATGTTTGTGGTTTTATGTCCAGTTCTCAAAGATCAGTGTAGGAGGAAAAAGCCTCTTATTTCTAACAGACTTATGACAGGAGGCTAAGATTTTTGGCTGTTTCTGCCTAGTAAGCTGAGAGAGGATAGGGTACTTCCTGATGCAGTGGATTTGTCATTAGTCATTTGAATGGGATCAATAGGGATTTGCCAGTTACAGAAGATGAGGCTGAGGCATGTATGTTCAAGAGTTAAGCTGTGTGCAGTCTGGAAGGCACACCAGCACAGTATCCTGAAGTCTTGAATCTAGTCTCTGCTCTTGGTAGAGTAGCTGTGAGGGAAGTATACTGATACAAGGTGAGTAATGTAGTAAAAACAAACAAACAAACAAAACCCAAAACAAAACCAAACCTTGGTACTGTTACCCTTTTAAATTGTTTCTTTTCTTGCATTTTAGTTAACAATGGAAGTTGATGGGAAGATAGAAAGCATCATGAAGAGAACAGCTCTGGTAGCAAATACCTCCAACATGCCTGTGGCTGCCAGAGAAGCCTCTATCTATACTGGTAAGATTCACAGGAGGCTGGAAGAGAGGCTGTGTGTGTAGAGCAAGCCATCATGTTCTAGTATTTTCAGTTCCTGAGATGGTCGGTACCAAGAAACTTGCTTAGTTTCACAAGTTAACCGTTTCAAGCATTGCCTGCACAAAGTCCTAGTATCTTAATTGTATTTGGCTTGCTTCTATATAATGATGATTTCCAAATATTGAGTAAATTTTGCTTACAAAGTGAACTTGCTGCACTAGCTCTCATGTAGTTTTTCTCCAAGTGTTAACTATGTAAGCTTTTGTTTGTGGATAGCTTTTTGCTGACAAGTACAGCTGCTTAATGAGCGTCCTGGTTATGCTGGGATTGAATCACAGAATTCCTTTTTCTGTTCACCAGAGAATTGCAGTGTTCTATTTAGTGAAAACAAGTTGGTATTATTGCTGTAGCTGGGACAGAGTTATTTTCCTCATAGTAACTAGGGAGATTTTTGTTTTGTATTTGTGCTGGAAATAATATGATAACATGCCAGTGTTTACACTAAATCAGGGTTTGTTCTTCAGACTTTCACCTGCACCTGTGGTTATAGTTTCTTTTGGGTTTGTTGAGGGTTTTTTTTGTTGTTTGGTTTTTTTTTTCCCCTCTTCTCCCTGCATAAGAGGATGGGGGGGAAGTGAAGGCCTGGGATTTTCTAAGACAGATGACCCAGGGCAGCTGTGATCCAAGCTGACCAATAAAATGTATACTATCCCATAAATGTCACACTCACTATAAACTGGAGAGTTTGCAGGGGACAACCCCTTCCTTTCCTTCTTTGGGTGGTGGCCTGTCTCATCTAGCTTATTCAGTTCCTGAGGCTTACCTCTCCCCTGTTACATTTTTAATGGCACACAGCCAGCGACTGCTTTTTGAGAGCTGAGTATAACTTTGATTGCTTTATTGTTCCCATTTTTATTATAATTCATTGGTGGTATTATTATTTCAGTTCGGTTTATTTTAATTATTAAATAGTCTTTATCTCAATAGGCAAGTTCTTTTACTTTTTCTGATTCTCTCCCCCACCCTACCAGGGAGTGAGTGAGTGGCTGCATCCTGTTCAGCTGCTTGTCAGGCTAAACCATGACAATGGGCAGGAATAGCACTCTCTGCATTGTCAGGCTGCTCTTCTTTCATTTGCAACCTTTTATGTATTTTAAATTCTTTTTTGTATGAAAAGTTGTCAGATAACTCAGATAAAACATGACCTTTTCTTATGGCTGTGTTCTGGTGGTTTGAAAGGGAAGGAGGCATTTTACAGTAAGAGGAGGCTTTGTTCCTGCTTTCAATGAGACAAAGAATAGCATCAATGGCATTGCTGTGTCTCTTCAAAGAAATACACAGGAATACAAGATGAGCCAGGGCAGTTCATAAGCAGAAATGGGGAGAGTGAGAAGAAATAACAAAAACAACAACAAAAGATGGCAAGGGCATGATCTAGTGGGAAGAAAGAAGAATTTTCAGTGTCTCTTGTCATAAAAATGTAAACTTAAATAATTTGACTTACTTGCATCTTAGTGACAACATACAAGTGTAGCATTCCTTTCTGAACTGTGTCCTGCAGCACGCTCTTGTCTTTGTTCCAGGAATCACCCTGTCCGAGTATTTCCGGGACATGGGCTACCATGTCAGTATGATGGCAGACTCTACTTCCCGATGGGCTGAGGCCCTCAGAGAAATCTCAGGGCGACTGGCTGAAATGCCAGCTGGTGAGTAGTCCTTTTTCTGTGTAGTCTGGTAACTGCATCTCTTAAACTCTGAGCCTTTGACTCAAGTAGTGTCTGTTGGTATTTGCAGACAGTGGTTATCCAGCCTACCTTGGTGCCCGTCTAGCCTCTTTCTATGAGCGAGCTGGCAGAGTGAAGTGTCTGGGAAATCCTGAAAGGGAAGGCAGCGTCAGCATTGTTGGAGCGTGAGTGTTGCACTACTTTGCTTTGCATTGGCTACAGTTATTCATCTTTATTTTTGTATGTCAGAATACCTATTTTTCAGACAAAAAGAGGGTTTTGTTTCTCTGTATAGCCGCAGAACTAAAAATATGTGAGTGAGTAGGTAGATGTTTAGTCTCTGTTCGCCCTCAACTACTGCTAAATTGTGTGTGGGGGCAGAAAGAATGAATTTGGACAGGTAGTTCTGTGAGGTATAGAACAGCAGTCACTTGCAGAATTCGGAGCAAATGGCTCAGGGAGGAATGTCATTAGAGCTGTCACTGAAAACTATGTCAAACCATGCGCTGAGCAGGAAAGAAGGGGACGTCAGAGCAGCAGTGTGTGCACTTGGGGGCATAATGAATCATGATTCTTTTGCTTAAATAGAGTAGAATGACACGGAACAGCATATCTCAAGGTGTGATAGGCTGTGAAAAGCATGTGGTCCCCCGATACTCTTCTGCACTACTATATTGATTTGTATATTGTACTGCAGGCAAAATAAATTTTCCCCGACACGTTTTCAGGAAAGCCTCTAGCACAGAACACCCAGAGTCCATTATTTGCTCTGCTTAGTTCTGATGTCCACAACATATGTACACAAATGCGTTGTGCTTTTGAGGTTGGAAGAATTTTTTAATTTTCTTTAATCTCTGGGAAGGCATGTATAAGAGTGTCAACCCCAAATGAAGTTGAAGTGGTTATTATATATGTGAATATCTGGAATAATTTCAAATTGGGGTATTGTTTTCTGTAGAATAATGATAGAATCGTAGAATGATTTGGTTGGAAAAGACCTTTAAGATTGTCGGGTCCAACCATAACCTGTCCACTACTAAACCATATCGCTAAGCACCTCATTTACCTGTTTTTAAAATACCTTCAGTGATGGTGACTCCACCACTTCCCCGGGCAGCCTGTTCCAATGCCTGATAACCCTTTCAGTGAAGAAATTCTTCCTAGTGTCCAATCTAAACCTCCCCTGGCGCAACTTGAGGCTATCTCTTCTCGTCCTATCACCAGTTACCTGTAAGAAGAGACTGACCCCCACCTTGCTACAACCTCCCTTCAGGCAGTTGTAGAGGGCGATAAGGTCTTCCCTCAGCTTCCTCTTCTCCAGGCTAAACAACCCCAGTTCCCTCAGCCCCTCCTCATAAGACTTGTGGTCCAGACCCCTCACCAGCTTTGTTGCCCTTCTCTGGACATGCTTCAGTGCCTCAATGTCCTTCTTGTAGTGAGGGGGCCAAAACTGAACACATTATTTGAGGTACGGCCTCACCAGTGCTGAGTACAGGGGAAGGATCACTACCCTGGAGTAGTGTACTGTGTTTCATGGTATCCTATCAGCACATTTGCTGAATCTGTTCCAGTTAAGATAGGTTTGTTATGCAAGCTGGAGTTACCACCTGGAGCTGAAGTGACTGGAATAATACCTTGAAACTCTCAGTTATTGATCTAACAATATCTCACGGTATGTTTTATTACACCTGTGTGGGTATACGTCAAACACTTTCTGCTGTGGAAGCTTTCAACCTGTTACTTGAAACTGTGTTGACTTTTCTGGTTTCTGTGATCACTGAGCTGTGCAGTTATATGTTTGGTACTTCATCTTAAACCATGAAAGCAACTGTGATAACTTTTCCTTATCTCTTCCTGCCCAGGGTGTCTCCCCCAGGTGGTGACTTCTCTGATCCTGTCACATCTGCTACACTGGGCATTGTTCAGGTACGTCCCATGATGCTGCAGCTCTTCTGTCTACTTTTTTCAACTTGAAATTGCTTCAGTGCATTTGTGTCAATGGCTGGCGTGTGAGAGCTTTGATTTGACACAGGCAGCTTTGTAGGGTGCTTTGGAAAAATGTTCTGGCGGTGTATAAGGCAACCTTGTGAGATTGTCTCTGAACTGATGTGTTTGAGATCCCTTTGGAAGAAGGAGCAAAGGTAGCAATTCCTTCCAATGCTGACTGCTCTGGAATTCCTGACTGCTGCCCATTGAGCTGCACTTCAAACATGGCTGCTTTCAGCTGAGATGGAAAGTGAACCACTCATAATAGGTGCATTGAAACCAGAAAAAAATCCTCAGAGCAGCTGACTGGGAGAAGAATGTCTTGCAACTGATGGCCCAGCCCTGTTGGGAAAAGAAGTTATATCTAATAGGGGTCCACTTAAATAGACTCCAGTACTGTCTTTGCTACAGCTGACTTCTCCCTTCTGAGGAGTCTCAACCTGATTAAGTGTGAATTCAGCTTAAAAAAATGCATCATTTTTTGAGAAGTATATTTGGAAGTCACTACTTTAGTTAAATGAACATAACGAAGGTTTTCTTTTTCTCTCTCAGGCTTTCATTTGTGATAGCCTTTGCCATGTTGCATTTGCTAAAGCTTGCTTTCTGTATTTGGGTTTTGTTTTTATTGCCTTCGGTTATTTTGGTTCATTTTTTATTTGCAATACTAGTTGATCCTTCTGGCTTCTGACAGGTTTTCTGGGGCCTGGATAAGAAGCTGGCACAACGCAAGCACTTCCCCTCTGTCAACTGGCTGATCAGTTACAGCAAATACACGCGTGCCCTGGATGAGTACTACGACAAGCATTTTACAGAGTTTGTCCCTCTCAGGACAAAGGCCAAAGAGATCCTACAGGAGGAAGAGGACCTTGCAGAGATTGTGCAGCTTGTGGGGAAGGTGAGTAACCAGCTGTGAGGGAATGTGTTGCCAATGAGCTGTCCTCCCTTTACTTACTGATAGTGCAGGCTTTTGACCACATCTTAGACCAACTTGATGGTTACTGTATTGTGCCAAAAGGGCGAATGGTCATTGGAAGATGTGAGACTCTCTTGCCTCTGACTGCTTTGTGCCAATTTTCGTAAATGTTGTTTGACTCCTACTGACAAATTCTTTTTTAGATTTGATAAACCTTGGCTTAATACTACTTTTCTCGCGTAAATTAGATTGCAGGGCATCTAATGCTGGTGTTAAGAAACTTCACTTTCTTCAGTGTTCTAGTCTTGCTGAAATGCCCTTTGTTGCAACCTACAGTACTACTCCATTGGAAGTAATCTTTGTAAGATAAATGATGCAAACTGATCTTTGCTGTTCAAGTCACCTGGAGGGTTACAATTACCTTGTTACCAGCCACAGAACAGAGGTGTTGACACTTACCAGCTGGCTTGTAGAAACAGAAGTGATGTCTGCTTTTTCTAATAACTGGTGATGACCTAGTTTCTCTGTGGGAACCAGTGACATGACATATGGCTCCATTTTACAGGCATTCTTTAATTTCCTTCATTTGCTTTACTGTTTTGGAGAGAAAGCTGAACTTGGACAGGAAAATAATTGGCAAGTGCCTAGCTCATACTTGACAGTAACTTGAACATGTGATGTTCAGATGACCTATGCTAACTTACCAAGTGGTGGTAGTGTATGGTAACATATTAACTGCAGTTATTTGAAGGCAGTTTGGTCCTGATGCTCTCCCTGTTCACTGACATTCTAGCCTGCCTAAGAGGAGGCCTTTCACCAGATCTTGCCTAGCATAGCTCTCCTCCCTAGATGCATTTTCAAAGAAAAGGAAATGTGATCTTAGGGCCTTCTGCAGGTTTTCTATTTACAAAAACATGTTCTAAAAGACTAGTTTACAGAGCAGGGTAGAACCAGTTGCTTGGTGTGGAAGGGATATCAATAAGCCAGTGCTTGTAACTAGGCATTAATTCCCATGATAGAAGTACTGGTGATCTTGTTCTCAAATATGTTATCCTTAACAATTTCTTTCAGCCTGGGCTTGATTAACAACTGCAATAAATCTTTAGAAAGGGAAAATTGTGGAAAAACAATTGTTTTAAGCTCTGAATTCTGCCAGTCTCCTTCTGAAAGACAGGGTTGTAGCTGTTCTGCAGAGTATGGCAGGCATTGTCAGCAACTCCTTTTACTTGTCTTGAATGCCAGACAGGGAAAGTTCATCGGTAGCTGTGGAAGCTAGTATCAAATCTTTAAGATTACTTATTGAGCTAGCATGCTGACATCTAGTTTTTCTTCCAAGGACTGAGGAAGGCAAAAATCAGTTTGCCCCTTTTTATGTAGGAAGGTGATGTTTCAATGCACGTCATAGAGCCATAATGGCTTTTCCATTATCTTAAAGGAAACTTCCTTTCCATTGTTTCTTGTTGTATAGACTTATTGACTATTTGACCCATCTTAATTTAGCTATCAATTAAATTGGCTGTTCTGTAGCAGGTAGCAAGAAATACCCAAAAGACTGAATTCTGCTGGAAACTATCTTAAGAAGGTGGGGAAAAAAAGCAGGTGCTGAAGGATAACAGTTCTTGGCAGGGACATACCATGTCCTCATGGATTTGAGTACTAAACTAACAGTGTACCTTTTTTCTAGGCTTCCTTGGCAGAAACAGATAAAATTACCTTGGAGGTTGCCAAGCTGATAAAAGACGACTTCTTGCAACAGAATGGTTATACGCCTTATGACAGGTGAGATCTGACTGGCACCTCTGCCCTCTTGGTCCTGTGTAGTCTGGATTTAGACAGGTATTTTACTTGGAAACTGATCAGTGCAGAAGTTAGTTTTACTCACTCTGGACAAGTGGAAGACCTGTACCTAGGTACGCCATTGAACAGTGTGTTCATGTTACTTTACCCAAGGCATGCAGCCTTTTTCCAAATGCAGTCACACCTTTTGAGTTTCTTGGACACTCATCTGTTGTTCACTTAGCCAGTATTTCTGAAATAGCATGTCCTCTTGTCCTCCTGAGGAGGAGGAGGAGAGGGCCACTGTGTTTTCACAGAAAAGTTTTCCTGTTTATTCTAGCAGTGCATGGGGGACTGCAAACATCTGCTTTCAGTTGCTGTTGCATACTTAAGTATGCTTGATCCATCAAAAAAAACTTACTGGACTTTTTCTCTAGTGCAATGCTTCTTACCTCGTCTGCTTTGCTTCTTTCCATGCTGTCCTTTTGTTTTAAGAGCCTGATAAGGGGCCTTTTGTACTTCCTCTCACTCCCCAGCCCAGGTAGATCACGAGGTCTTGCAATACTTCATCACTAAAAATGTAGATGTACATCATTCTGTAATGATGCGTACCTTTGATTAGGTATGCTTGTATGCACAGGAAGCAGCATGATGTACTGTATAAATAATAATGAGGTACCTTCTGTGGCAGTCATCTACCTGTTAAAAATGGAGCTTTTTGTGCACGGAGTGCTCTTGTCATGGAAACACTCCCTTTCCTGTGAGCAAAGAAACTTGCAGAGCTGTCAGGTCACTGCAGGCTGCTTGAAGGAAGCCCATGATGGACCAAACGGGAAGGAGGAATTCAGTTGGCTGCTCTGGTGTTCTCCTTTTCTAGTTAATATTGACACAGATTGAAACGTGAGACTTGCACAGCTATGGTTCCTGTTCTCTCCTGTTTTGCCCAGTGTTTGGGTGCTGTTTCAGAAACCTTGCTTCAGGCTGAGCCTCTTAGCCTGTGATTTAGCTGTTTAAAAATGTGGAACCTATGAGAGTTGCTCTCTCTCCTTTGACAGCACGTAGCAAAACCAACTGGAGTAAGGCAGGCTAGCGCTCTCTCTTTCAGGTGAGAATTCAGAGTTGTTGTGAAGGCAGAAGCAAAGGCTTGTCCTGTTAACTGTTCCATAAATGCCTGACGGATCCTCTTCTGTTCCATCAGGTTCTGCCCTTTCTATAAAACAGTGGGAATGCTTTCCAATATGATTGCATTTTATGACATGGCACGCCGTGCCGTAGAAACCACAGCCCAGAGTGACAATAAGATCACGTGGTCCATCATCCGAGAGAACATGAGCGAAATCCTCTACAGACTTACCTCCATGAAATTCAAGGTATGTTTGTAAGGAATGGAGTGGCACTGTGTTTTGTGAGCTTCCAGTGCCTCTGAAAGGCTGTTACTCAAAGGTGGTCATCAGTTGCCGTAGGTAAAGGTCTATAAACAGAGATGTTTGCAATCACTTTGAATACACTTAAGAAATGGCTTTAATTTGTGAGCACAGGAGTGGCCAGTACAGAAATCTAGTTGGGTGATGCTGGCTGCAAAGCCTTGGCAACCCTGCCTTCAATAGTCTCTTTGTTACGTATATTCATGGTTATAGTACAAATACCTTTCCTGTTTGTTTTGGGGGTTTTGTGATTAAAATTCTGTAAAAAATTGTAACACGTTCAAGGAGACTATTCACAGATAAAAGCAACCTAAAGTTTAAATTCAACCTAAAGTTTAAATTCAGGAATGTGCTAAAAAGTGAAAGTTAGAGGTGTTGATCAAGCTCTCTTACATGGAAATAAAAGAAAAGCTAATCCTCTGCAGTAATATGTGCCACCTCCTGCATTTGGTTTCAAGTCCTAAGGCAGGCAACTAGGAGGAAAGAAAGGCAGGCATAGCTTCAACATGGGCTAAGGAAAAAGCAAATGTCTTAGAGCACCTGCTCTGGGTAACTTCAGTAGCCATCTTTTTGGAACTTTCCTAAAATTCATCTGGAGCATGCTGATGTAGCAGTTACTGGCAGGACAGCAGCCTGTGATGCTGGCTGATGTTAGTAGCTAGGGAATGTTCTCTATGAAGTTTGATGCTTATTCTGTTGTAAGTCTTCTAACCAAATATTGCAGATCTTCTGAGAACAAGTACCATAAGATAAAATTACATTTAAAATTGATGTATTCTGTTCCTGCAGGGTACTGGCTTGTTTCTGTAGCAAGCAAATCCCTGCTATATATTCTCAAAGCATCAAGAACATAAGGTGCACTTGGGCACATGAGCTTTGAGAGCTGGTTATATAGAGATAGGGGAAGTAATACACTTCTTACAAACCCTGGCCACCAGAAGACATCTGGCATACAGCAGAGCGGTGGACAGCATGACTGTGAGGGGAATCTAGAGGGTAAACACATGTTCAGTAGAGCTGGCCCTCTAATACAGTGATAGTTATGAAAAGAAAATTCTGTTTCCTGGGTAACAGTCTAAAAGGCATGAGAATGTAATGTCCTGCATGCTGTGGTCTGTGTATTTGGAGAGACAGTGAAGAAGTGCATCCACATGTTTAAGTCCCCTGTGTTTCCCAAGAGCTGCACTGACCCAGAGAAGCACAGCGCTGAGAGGGGAATGGTGAAAACATTGAACAGATTTCCCAGCCTGGCAGTTAACACTTCCTGCAGGGAAGGCCTTGCAGCCTCAGAGCAAAGCTAATTGGTTCTTTTTGCCCTTGTCTTTCATGAAAAGTATTCTGAGAAAATGAAGCTCTACACAGATATTCTTGAGCTTCTTGTGATCTCACAATAAGATTTTAATTGGAACAGAGCAACCTCTGAGTGATGGCAAAGTTACTCTTGCACTTACAAGGTCTGCACGCCAAAAAGTACGGCAAAGCATTTCTGAGTTACAAAGATCTTTACTCTGGTTTGGGGACATGAGCTGGCGTTAATCAGTGCAGCTTTTGAATCACATAACATTTAACTAAGACCCTCTCCAAATTAACTGAATCCTCTCCAAATCAGTTGCTTTTCAATAAAGTAACCACTGCTCACAAAAAAAAAAATTCTCTCTGGTATCCATTCTGCCCGCTCATGGAGCATGGAAAGAGAATGAGATTTAAACCTTGTGGCTGTTGGCGAGACAGATGGGAGGTGGAGATGGAGCTATAAGGCCCGCTCCACAGTTAGCGAACATTAGTCCTGAGGTCGAGAAGTGACAGCACTGGCAAAGCAGGGTTGTCTGAAGTACCTGAGCTTTTCCCAACAGATCTGTTCATTTGCTGTGTTGTCTTTCAGGACCCTGTGAAGGATGGTGAAACAAAAATCAAGGCGGACTATGCTCAGCTGTTTGAGGATATGCAGAATGCATTTCGCAGTCTGGAAGACTAGACTCGACCTCTGTGACCACTCCAGTTTGTCCTCTCAATTCCTCATCTCAACTCCTCTGCTTCCCTACCTTACAAGAGTGATGCAACAGTACTTGAGTTGACAAATAGCCCCATGTTTCCCCTGTTCATACTCAGAGTGTCCTTACAAAACATTCCTCTTAGTTTGTGTTTGGCATTGCTTTGCATGTCTGAAATGGTGAGTGATGTGTGAATGGGCCTGGCTGAGTGAGGAAATGCTGTTGTACACTTCTAGGGTGGGAAAAATTTCACCTTCCCTCTCCCAGCTCTCTTAGTAACCGGTCTTTCACCTTGGGATGTACCCAGTTGAGCTGTACCAGCAGAGGAGGTGTAGATCTTAATGTCATCTCGCGGTACATTCTGAGCTGGCAGTGGTAAGGGCATTTACATCTGGCACTTTGCTAAGTGACTATCATGACACAGAACTCCCTATTCTCAAACAGAACTTTTCTCCATATTCTGATGACATGTTGATACAACCAAAAATTGTTCACTACTCTGTCCCTTCTGCAAGCCTCAGCTGAGTCTGTTGCTACTGAAATGTGGTAATTCTAGATCTTCCCAAGAAAGGACTAACTAGAAGATGAGCAGCACGTACAAGCGGCCAGTATACTTTTGTGCACTGGAGAAATATAATTTTATTTTCCTATTTAATGCAGATAGGACTGTTGGACTCAGCATCAGCTAAAATCAAAGCCATAGGTGCTCAGCTTCTAGCAGAATTTTACCTTCCTGCCTCCCCATAAAGTTTCACAGCACTCAGCTGCTTTAGTTTGTGAAGCTTGTGGGTGCTGCCATGCGCTGCAGGACATGCTTAGCAAGTTAGGGCAATGCCACGTGTGTGGACCAGGAACACGGTCCTTCCCAGTGGTGCTCTGTCTGCCAGTGCAGTTGCCTCTCAGTGCAATGTCCAGGTTGTATTAAAGAAAGGAAAGTGTGCGCTTAACCTTCCTCCTCCACCTGTGCTCATGTGGCCTGGTTGGTGGTGGCACAGAAGGTCCCCAGTTCTTGTGTAGGAGGAATGTATGATGCTACACTTCTGGGGGCAGGGGATGAACAGAGGGAAGGTTGACAATTACAAAATGTATTTACTCATGGTCTTCTGCTCAATGCTCTGGAAGCACTGCCAAGCAGCTGAAACTGCTGCATCTTGGGCTTGTTTATTGGCAAAACCAGTGTGAGATGAGGCATGAGCATAGGGCAGCCTTTCTGTCAAACTGTGAGAGCCCAGCACTCATATCATTGCTGCAGAGAGAGAGAAAACAAACGCTGGCACCCTCTCCAGTCTCTGCCTTGCTTGTGTCAGGTGGCACCCAGTGCTGCTTTGTCCTGCCACATTCTGTGCCCAGCTGGGTTCCAGCTGACATCTACCGCTTTGTTATGGTCATGACATAGTACTACCTGTTGTAGGTGACACTGTGGCAGTGGTGTGGTTATGAAAGCATTAGTTTTCCACCGGCTGCCCACTTCGAACAGTAGCGATGCAAAGGGATCTCGCGCTACGGACCAAATGCTGCCACTTCCATTATGGTATCAACTTGCTCTTTGTCAGGGAGACCCCAGGGATTAACTGTTTTTGGTTCTCCCAAAAGAAACAACTCCTCCAGCTGATACTCTGGTAGTGAATGGTTAAGTTTACAGCTCACTAAACCTTTGGTGTATGCTGCTGCTTTTACCAATGAGCATGTGTGAATGAGTAGTCACCATCCACACCCTTGCTGGATTCCTCATCGTTCATACCCTTCACCACTGTACTATGTAGCATTTCATGCTAGAAACCAGATGTTCTTATCTCTTTAAATAGAGGATGTTATAAACTTTACAGAAGATGTCTAAGATAATACAGTTCTAATATTTATTGTGCTGTACCTGGCCCTGAAGTGTGACCAGTTCAAACAGTTTCATATATATTTTTGTCTTTTTTGTTTTGTGTCTGTTTTCAGTGTTGAGATTCTGATGTTCACTGTGTCCTGCAAGTCTTCCCTCCACAGCTGTGGGAGGAATTAAAAGATGGGCAGAACCCCACCACCTACTTTATCTTGTATATTTCATAATGTATGTTGCTGGAAATTGTGTAAAAAAAATTTAAAAAAATTGTTGAAGTCAATGAAAATAAAATGGATTTAAAGTAGGTCCTGTCTGTCCTATTTTATTATGTGAGACCAAACAGTCTTAAAACCTTACTTCATCACTTTAGGGATACTTTAAACCTGTAAGCAGCAATTTAGCAGGAACACTTCACTTTTTCCATTCCAGTTTAGCTCCTCAGACAGTAGTACGTGAAAGAATTATAATGTAGTAAATATTCTTGGGGTAGAGATCTTTAGGAATACTTTTATTGTAATAGAAGTATAACAGTAAACTTGCCTTTTGCTGCTAGTAGCTGCCATGCATGTTAATGCACGAGTTATAATTGTACCATTTTATGGCACTTTGCTAAGCCTTATAATACTTCCCTGCTGTGTACCTCATGTGGAATATACCTCCTAAAGCCTCATCTGTGTTTCAGACCAACGTCTGTATTGGAAGATAAGCAGCACTGCTGGCCACAGCCTGAAAGTAAAGTTCAAGTTCCTTTGAAACAACGACTTCAGACCACCTGTAAATAGGAACAGATGAGGTAAGAATATATGAAAACATCACATTCAGGTGTTTTTGTACATATTTGACCACTGCATAACACTTCTGTGAAGGAAGTGTTTTGCTATTTTATATATATTAAAGATACAGCAGACTCCAGTAGAGCAGGTGTTCAAGTAATTACAAAGGGGTGGAAGCCACAGGATCCCTCCTGGCACCCCAAGACTAGACAGCAGTTCTCTGTGGGCGTTAAGAAATCCAGCAAGAGAAGCTACGACTTCAGGTTTTGGCAGCTTGGAAGTTACCAGCTGGCAGCGTCCTCACTTCATCCACTCGGCTTTTGTGGATCTGGAAGGCAGGAGTCACCCAGTGGCCACAGGAGCACTGGTCACCCCGCCAGCTGAAGGAGCCCAGCTTCGACATGCATTTGGGACACAGAAGCTGCAAGAAAGATACATAAGGCATACGCATTTAAAATGTACTTCTGCGGTACATTCATTACACTGTGGCAACCTGCTCCTTCCCTTGTAACACTTCACAGAAGGTAAATGGGCTGAAAAATGCAAAACTAGCTGAACTGGCATGGCTTTTTGCTCTGGGGTGTAGCAGGCAGCTGTGCTGGCAGAAGGGAGGGTGTGGAAATGCAGCTGCTCAGACCCGGTGTGGTTGTAGGACAGTTTTGCCAGGCTCCAGAAAGCCAAGAGACCACAAATTCCCACAAACTTTTCTCATACTGAAAACACACTGCAGATAAACCCTGTCCAACACCCTGGCCAATGTTCCCAGTCCAGCAAGATCACCAGTTCATTTCCATATAAAAGGATATTTAACATTTAAGAATCTGTTCGTAAGCTGCAAAATTCACACCAGAAAGGCTGAGAGTGAGTCCTCATGTGGGGGCTTTAACATCAGGGAACAGAAACAGTTCGTTCTCCTTTGCAAAAACAAACAAGCAAGCAAGTAAACAAAATAAAGCACATGCTTCCTCTTCACCTGTCCTTCCATTACTCCAAGCAACGCTGGCTCCATCCACTGCACGGGCTCAATGAAGTAAGAGGTGCACTTTTCACGGCCATCACTGCAAAGCTGAGCAGAGTCCGCTATCTTCTTGTGGGCAAAGGCTGTCGGCCCACTTCCTTCCGCGTGGGACAAGATGCTGGAACTGCGGAACAGAGCACGCCTGCCCTCCGCGACAAAGGGGAAAAAAGAAGTAAAATAATTGGGTTTTTTTACTGGGGAAACCTACAAACAATTAAAAATATCTGCCCCACAGCTGTATGCTCTGTCTTATACAGACCTATTCTTAAACAATTCCTACTTTAATTCTATGCTTACATACTTGAAGAAACCTACAGATAAGAGATAGCAGGCTTACACAGTTTAAGTAATCCATAAAGGGTAGTTAAAAATGTAGTAAAACCCCAAAATCTACAGGAAGGTTCTTCTGGAGAAGCCGATTGTCAAAAACAAACTAGAAGTTATGGTTTCAGAGCTAGCAGCTTCACAGAGCCAAGTGGAAGCATGCCTGCCTTAGAACACAGCAGGTCAGGCTGCACAAGTGCTGCACAACTTCAAGGAATAAAAGTTTTGTACTTCATAAGATACTTTTTATTTGTCTAATTTTTGTGGCATACACTGAATGCAAACTTAGGGAAGAGCTCATCCCTGTCCTAACAATAATGGCACGCTCATTGATTTACACAGGCTATTTTTCTCTTGAGTTGATTTCAAAATTACATTTAACGGAAAACAAAAAAGGTTCGGTACCTGCATTTCCTACACCTGTAGAGAACCTCTGTGCTTGGAGTCTGACATATACTGGTTGGATCAACAGCGAAGACTTCTCGGGGCAAGTCTTGAAGCTCTGCAGAGGGGTCAGTACCAAGGTGTGAATCAGAACAATGCCGCCACGCTGCATTTCTGTGGGACAAGACAGCACTGCGCCGCTGCCTCAGTCACGGCATCCAGAAACCACCTTCACATTCGTTTGCCCACTCACCAATTCCATCAGAGAAGCTGAAAATGAAAAAGCCTCATCCCACCACACCTTAGAATTGGATTCACTTAATGCAAGGAACTGGGACCTAGGCTTTGGCCTTAGCAATGGTAAAATAGTTGTGCTTTGCCTCATGTTCTTACTTAAACAGAAAGCAAAGGCAGAAGAGGAGTTAGAACAGTTCTGCCAGTCTTTTACTGCACATATAGAAAGTCAGCTTACGAATGGGAACTGCTAAGGAGAATGACAGACAGCACTGCCATGATGAATATGCAATACTGAGATCGTGCAAAACAGTTATAGATTATTGTTCTATTATAAAATTTCACATATGCACACATATCTGCTACAGTCAACCTTCTGCAAATTAAAGTACGAAGGTTTAGTTCATACCTTGATTTCAACTTTACTTCTCAGGCACATCTCAAAGACACTTCCTCCCCCTTCACTGATGAGCTACAATTCTCTAGACCCAGGACAATGTTCACATCTGCCTACCCAACACAAGAGCCGGCTGCTTTGAGGGCAATACTCATAGTCAACCACCTCTGACACAGCCTTCTGTGTCCATTTCAGGACAGACTGGTCCCACCTGGGTCCACCCTCCTTGGGACACTGCCCCAAGCTTCACCCCAAGCACCCATCCCGGCCCAGCAGGCCCCGCAGCACGGACGCGCCGCCCCACC